TGTTGGGATTTTGATTGGCATTGCATTGAACTTATAGAGAACTTTTGGTAATATCGCCATTTTGATGATGTTAGTTCTGCCTATCCATGAGCAGGGTATATTTTTCCATCTTCTAAGGTCTTCTTCTATATCTTTCTTTATTGTTTTTTAAAAAATTACTTTTGAGTCCACATTGAGGAGAATGTGTATTAGAAGAGAGAAAGTTCTATCATAATTATATATTGTGGGCTAGCTAGGACATTTTAATGTTATATTCTGTTTAAACAAATAATGTTAGAAACTGAAATCTTGTAACTGAAGATCACTTGACAGCTTTTGACATCTCAGAACTCTGTATTTAATTTACTTTAGTTCATTCACCATCCTGTTTTTCTAGGATAGGCTAGTATTAATTAGTAGAATGGAATCCTCAAAATCTGAATAAAGAAATTTGATAAATGGAACTAAGAAAATCCTTTATATCATTAACAAATCATGTTTTCCAACACTAGCATATATCTGTATAATTAATTCAATGAAAAAGAATTGTATTACTGAAAGTAATATCAAAATAACAAAAATAATACTCAGAGACATATCATAAAAAATTTTTAGGGCCAAATACCATATTTCAGTTTATGAGGTACAAACATTCTTCAAAAGGAAACAGAATTGAACCATGGAGTACTGCCAACTACATAAAAATCCCTTTTCCCTGTGATAAAACCACACCAACTGTTTTAATACTCTTCAGTCCTCTTTGACCTGGTTGAGACCAAATTTAACATTATCTAAACTTGTTCCATTTCCCCACCTTCTCTACTCATAGGTTTAGTTCAGTATCTTTCTTCTTTGATCCTTTTATTCCTAACCTAGTGTTTTCCTTAGCCCATTCCTGATATCTATACTTGCTATTTGCTTAATAGTTTTACAGCTCTCTTTCTTTACCATTATTTTACCTGTAACTGGGCTATTTTCTTCAAAGTCTTACAGTAGACATGAAAGCTTTCCAATAAGAGGTCTCTGCTAATCCCTTAAGGATCTTAGTAATTATAGGCCCTTGAAATATTATTTTTAAAAATGCATCAATTTCTGGCACTTCTGGATTTTAATTTTAAGATGTTTAAAAGTTAATATTTAAAATGTTTGGTTTTTTTTAAAGAACCTATGTGGTGTGATTTGAATCTATTTCTGGATATTTCTAAATTTTTTCAGTAGTAAAAGCTTTTTTAATTTGAACTACCCATCAGACATTTGAAGCCTGCTCTGCAAATTGGAATATCCATATTTTTCTACTAAGAATTTAATTTTACTTTAGAGTAAAAGAGACTGATTGATATTAGCAAACTATTGTTCAATCCTCTGAAAGTTTTCAATGCTCTTCCTCTCTGCCATACTGCAGTATCCTATTTAAGTATTACATTTGACCTTTCAAATTAATTCACTTATTCAGGAACACCCCAAAGCATCATATGTTCTGTGATAGGTACTGTGAAAACAAATATGAGAAACAGACACTTGCATCAAGAACTTTATATATCAATGATGACAGCAAACTTATTCATTGATTTGAACAAAATTTAAGAAGATCTAGGCAAAATCTTTACAGCATATTTTAGACATACTAATATTCAACTGGAAGACTCTACAGGACCTCATGAAGGAATTTGCTTCAAAAAAAGACACATGGGAATATGCAAAGTACAGAACTGCCAAAGAGTTAAAGTTTAGCATACTCAAAAAAAAACATTGGCAGACTATAATAAAAGGAGGAGAAAAGAAGAATCGGAATGGATAAAGAGAAGAAGGAAAAGATTTGGGAAAAACAAAGAGATATTTCTTTTATCGAAAGGAGAAAATTTGACAAGGAGTGAAGATTCCTAAAATAATGAACAGGTAAGGACAAAGTCCAAGATGCACTTCATCTGGAAATGTGTTGATCAAACAAACTGATGAGAAGAGGACACTAAGGGATCAGTGTGCTTAAAGTGTTATTCTGATGGAACTGAAGTGATCTAGCAAAATGGCAGGAAATGAAAAGTAGAACTGGAAGCCAGACATATGAGTTTTCAATGACTACAGAAAAAAGATGTTAAAGAAGACAGATGAAAAAGCCAACAAAAAGTGATGACAGAGAATATTCTTTTTACCTGTTAAGTTAAAATACTTAGTCTTATTAAAAACATTGCAAAAACAGTACAAAGAATTCCTATATACTCTTTTCCTAGTTTTGCATATATTAACATTTTATCATATTCACTTTAATATTTTTGTCTCCTTATCTAACTACACCCACATTTTTTGAAATATTTGAGAGCGAGTAGCAAGTGTGATACTTTTGACCTTTCAAGAAAAATTTCAAGGTACTGTTCTATCATCTTACATTTTGACAAATTTTCTTTTCCTTATTCAAAAACCCAATTTATATACAACTTCTAAATTAGTACTTACTCCAACCAAGAGAAGAGTAATTCTAAATTCAGTCTTTAATTATTTTCCTAAAATCTTCAACCCAGGAGAAAGAGCTTTAAGAAATGATACTGGGATGAAGCTACTAAAAACTTTAGCTGAGCTTATTTGTACTGTCCCTTCAATTTTTAAAGACCTACCTAAAGAAATATAAATGTGTAAGCCAATAAAAGGCCATAAAAGTGAAGTTAAGGACTGTTTTGCACACTAATCAATTAAAAAGATAAATGGTAAACAAAAAGATATTCACTTCTGATTCAAACTTATCTCTAGGTAGATGAAAACTTTAAAAACTAAAACCATTCTATTGATTCTTCTATTTCACATGGTTTGGAAACACTCTTTAGTAATTCACATCTGTGTTTAATCAAGGTCATTGTTAACTGTTCTATCATTTTGACCAACTGAATATTATTTAAATTCATCTCTCCATATGAATTCAGAGACTAAATTAATCTCTTCTTCATAATTCATAAGTCTAATAAGTCTGATTTTGAGATTTAAAATGGAAAATCTTTATGACTACATCAATTCCTTTATTTGCTGTTCCGTAGGCACACTGTTTTATTGGATATGAGAATTCAATTGTGTCAAAATATACTTCCCAAAATTTGCTTTTAGTATCTAATGCTATCATTAGGTACTATACTAAAATCATTCTCTAACTATCTAAAAATGATATATGGATGCT